TCTTTTATGGTTTTCAAAAAAGAAAGGTTCTAATCTTTTTCTTTCCTTTTCCAATTCTTGCCAAAATATTTTCCACATGCAGCATCAGTACACTATTTGTGACCTTGAGTCTTTATCAGGTTTAAAAACACGTTCCAAACCCTTCTGTTGCAAAGTCAGTGTAGTCAAGTAGGAGTGAGCAAAGGATACATTGTTACAACAGCAAAAGAAAAAAAACTTCAGACTTAGGCTTTCAAGTGGCAGATTCAACTATTTTTAAAAAACTTTTTCCTTAAGTATCTTTAATATGATATTATAACAAGTAGAAGGAGAAGCTTAAAAGTTAAAGTAGTAAAAAGAAATAGAGAAAGAAAAATCAGTCCCTTCACCTCAAGCGGAGAAACAGGAAACGTTGCAATCACTTCAATCCACAAAACATCGTTACAGGTAAGAGCAAAAAGCTTTCTAAGGCAGTCCAATAGGGATTAAATACGCCACTTTGTTCTTACTTAAGGGACTAATTTAGCTTAAGAAAAAAGTTTCGGGGCAATCTTCTAAAAGAAAAGAAAAGAAAACCTCACCAGACGGAACACTTTCACTTCTCTTTCTTTCTGAAGCTGTCTCCAACTATGTCAGCCTGGGGGCTGCCTTTGCCACCAGTTGGAAGCGCTTCCCTTGGGTCAATCAGGGACTTTGCAATGTCCCTGCGACCAGCAAGGCCTTGTCTTCCCAGTCACCGTCTCTTCGGGACGGTTTAGGACCATCCGGGGCAAAAGTGTCATTGGCGGATTCGGATTGTCGAGTCCACACGATGTAACATTGCGATGTTGGTTCCTCCTCCTTATCCATTATTTTTGAGAAACAGTAATAAAAAGAAAATGCCAGAGTAAGCCTGCATTCAGGAACAACACTAATATTGTATTTTTGTGAATATTTTTATAGGATATTAAATCACAAGAGATGCAAATATAAACTATCAAATAAATTTCATTAGATTTTTTTATTTTATATTTCTACGACTTTTACATAATTTTGGTAAAGTTCTTAAGTCTTCTAAAGAGATTTTTCAAACAATACAGAACCAATCCTATGGAGCTACATACCTATTTTTCCTACATGCAACAAAGCAGGAATGACTACAGCCAGCTAGTTACCTATGTCAATAGAGATTTCTAAAATTTAGTCATAGCTATGCACATGTCTAGGATTATAAATTTAATAAACCAATTAATTAATTTTTGGGTAAGCAAGAAGCATGTCATCCTTCCTCAAAGGATATAATATGCTATTATAACATTATGTTCTTATCTGTGTTCTTATAGTAGTAATAGACTGCTGATGATTTTATTGTTTGTCACTCCTATTTGAAGTAAATAATAGAGATGTGCACTGGAAAAGACTTGGTATATTTATAATATATGGTACATGGTATATTTATAATATATAGAAAATTATGAATTAAATCTAGAGAGATGTAAATATTCAGACTTGTAACATTCATAATAAATCAGCATTAAATCAAATATTAATAGTAACCTTCTATACATATTTTTATACTTAAAATTTTCATGTGAAATTGTACTATTAATATATCTGCATACACCATTGTGTAACAGCAGTACCAACATTATGGTTAATGTCTTCAGAAATTTTAATGTATTTATAACTACCTCATCTGTTCTGTAAAAAATAGGCTGCTTGAATAATTTATGCCCGTATTGAATTAATATGTCTGCTACTTTTCCCAATGCACATTTGAAAGTATACCAGTTTTTATATTCTTTACTATGATAGCATTTTTCTTTATTAGAGTCACTTATTTATCTTGATAAATGTTTATGTGTAAAAATTAATACCCAGCTTTTTACTTTTTTTAGATGCCAGAATTTCAGAAGAAAACTGTCCATATCAAAGACCCAGAAAAGGTAGAAGAAATTATATGTGGTCTCATCAAAGGAGGAGCTGCCAAACTTCAAGTAAAGAGCAAACATTGTTATAAAAAATAAGAATATGAAATGCTTATTGGTTTCATCATAGACTAAGGTGACCAGACGTCCCGCTTTCAGCGTGACAGGCACGCTTTTCTACAATTTGTCCGCACCCAGCGCAGTTTTCAAAAAGTCCCGCTTTTATAACTCGCTCGCTCCCCCGCCCATCTGCTGTCGCTCGCTCCTCCGCCCATCCACACTAAGTCTAAGGCAGCGCTTTCAGTGGGGTGCGTGCTGGGAGGAATCTCTCCTGTTCTCCCAGCTCCCTTTCACCCGCAGCAGAGATCGGGCGGGCGAGAGGAAGCGCTTTAGGCAGGGAGGTACGTGCCAGGAGGAGAGGAGAGATTCCTCCCAGCTCCCTTTCACCCGCAGCAGAGATCGGGCGGGCGAGAGGAAGCGCTTTAGGTAGGGAGGTGCGTGCCAGGAGGAGAGGAGAGATTCCTCCCAGCTCCCTTTCACCCGCAGCAGAGATCGGGCGGGCGAGAGGAAGCGCTTTAGGTAGGGAGGTGCGTGCCAGGAGGAGAGGAGAGATTCCTCCCAGCTCCCTTTCACCCGCAGCAGAGATCGGGCGGGCGAGAGGAAGCGCTTTAGGTAGGGAGGTGCGTGCCAGGAGGAGAGGAGAGATTCCTC